CCTGAATAGTTTCCATTTTTTATAATCAGTTTTGAAATATGGTTTGAACTCAAAGTTAATTTTTTTCCTAATTCAACTCTCTCCTTAGTTGATGTTTTACCGTTTGTGATCACAACTTGCCACAGATGTCTACTTTGATTTCCCTGGCTGGTCCAAATCAGGTCATCCACTTTCTGGACATATTTGAGAGCTTCTTTAAGACTGTATAAAGCACATATCTGATGCATGAGACCGGCTGTCATCAGGTCTGAACCTGGAGAAAAATATTGCTGGGAGGCTTTGGTTTGAGGTCTTCTACCATCCATGGCTCTGCTACTTCCTTTAGCTTGAAGGTCACCTCCGGTTTGGTAATACAGTTCCTTTTTACTGTTTAAGGTTGGGAAAGTTGCCTGTCCCAGTTGTTTGACCATGAAATGTCAGTATAAGTCATTTATGTCATTTCTAAGAAGATTTAAGAGCTGGCATTTGGTTCACTGCCCTTTTATTCCTCCTTCCAAACTGACCAGCTCTGTTCCAGTAATTTCCATCCTATTAGTCTGAGGCCACAAAGAAATTTGGTGGAAACTTTGAATGTTTCAACTTCTTAGAAATTGAGATCATTGGTTACCATATCATAGTCTACTCCAGTGCCTGATGTCCCAGGGGCCCTTCATAAGAAGAAGAATTTTTAGAGATTTATAAGAAAAATATGAAAAAAATTGGCAATCTAATGGAAAAATGAGGAAAGGATGTCAGTTTATGTTCTATCTTCCAAAATTCCATTCTGTAAAGCAGGTGTCCTCAAACTATGGCCTGTGGGCCACATGCGGCCCACCAAGGACATTTATCCAGCCTGCTGGGTGTTTTTGCCACTGCTGCCTGTCCTGCTTAGCAGCCAACTGGTCCCAGGCCCACAGTGGGAATGTGTGGAATGTGCGCCACACTCTCCCATAGCCTTCCAATGGTCTGAGGGACAGTGAACTGGCCCCCTGTTTAAAAAGTTTGAGGACCCCTGCTCTAAAGACATGAAAAGGTGCTCAAACTCTTAGAGACATACAATCCAACTTCAGAACCTGTGAAGCAGTATTGGGAGAGATGCAATGTCTGGAATTTTCAGGTGGAAGATGGTGGGACTGGTGCTGTAATTTCTGTGAGAGAATAAATGCAATTGCCAGGTGAAAGTGTATAGATACTTTTAAAGTGTTGGTTTTCTAATTACTTAGCAAAAAGCTTTAGCAATTTAAATTTTCACATGTTCTATAGAATAGCCTTTTCTCTTACAATGTCATTCTACTCTGGTTAAAAATTCCTTTCAACATTGACAGTTGGGTATAAATTTATATCACAATATTAATTTATTTGACATGAAACATAAAACTGATGCAGTTGATAATTATTTGTTCTTTGCAAAATGGGATTTAATGTTCTCTAAATTGTCTATTTCCATTTTTTGCTTATATTTATTTTCATTTTATATTCGTATTGTTAATTTACAAGAGCTTTTTGTAGACTTCAGAAAACATTCAATTGTATGCCTGTTATACAGTTAATTTCAGTAATATTATTTGACTTATAAATTTTTACAGTAGTATTTTTGCCATCAAAATATACTTGTATTTAATATGCATGTTTAATATACATGTAATCAAACTGATGTCTTTTCTTTTGTCACATTCTGGCATTAATTAAAATTAAAAATCTTAATTAAGATTTTTTGACTCCTTTAAATTATGTGTTGCCTCATATATTTTCAAATACACTTTTACTTGTTTAGCCTTTAATGTAAACATTTAAACCACTTATAATGTTACCTTTTTGTTGTATGAATAAAAGGTAAAATTTTTTATAAGACATAATTTTTGTGACTCAAATAATTACTCAATAATCCACCATTTTCTTACTGAACTGAAATTTCTCTGCTTTTACATAACAATCCAAACATATAAAAATAAAGGTTACTTATTATTCTATACTTTCATAATCTAAACTGATCTGCAGGTCATTTTATCTTCTCTTATGCCAACACCATATTAACTTAATTTCATTGGCCTATATGTTTTAATGTTGTGTAAAGCAAGCACTAATTCAGGAACATTTAATTTTCTTTTTTTATTGTGATAACATATACATAACATAAAATTTATTATTTGGACCAGTTTGAGTGTTCAATTTATGGGCATTAAGTACATTCACATGTTATACAACTATCGCCAGCATTCATCTCCAGAACTTTTTTTACTCTCAAATTTAAACTTTGTATTTATTAGACGGTAACTTCCATTTATGTGCTATGCATTCATGAGATTTCATTTTTCCATATTAACTTAGAGATAATTTTTGCAATTATAAAAATTAAAAATGCTGGTTCCAGCTGGAATTGTGTTAAATTTATAGATTAAGAGTGAGCAAATTGATATTATTTGATATAATACATTGTAGCCATAGTGTAATTTATGTCTTGGCAGTGATATTAATAGCTTTGGTTTCAAGGTGCCTGTTGCTACCATAAATATCATCAATTGACTTTTAAATGCATACTTTATTGATTTAAATCACCACATTTTCTTATTATGTCTATTCTTAATAGTTTCCTATTACATTTTATTGTTTTCTAGGTACATATAATGTTATTGGGAAAAATTATCATATTTCACTGATTTTATTATAGTGTATGCTATTATTTGATGTCATACTAAGAAAGAAAAAAATGTTACTAATTAAAATTATATACAATATTAAGATTCCAGTCATTGTAAGACCCATCTGCCTTGCAAAGCTATAAAAGCTTACAAAAATACCTTCCATAATTTGTAACTAAAGTAGATTCATAACATTTCTCTGATATTAATGCCACTTTTTAATCTTATGACATTTCCAAGATGACAATGAAATGCTGAATATCGATGATGAAATTGAACATCCTATTTGTTTCTTAATTTTAATTAAAATAAGTACAGGTGTTTTCTGTCTCATATCATTGTGCAAAGTGTATTTATTAAGAAATTTTTATTGTATTTTAGTAGTTTGTCATATTTCCATTTTACTTTAAATTTTTAGGAGCAATTACTGATTTTTTTCAGTGATAGCTTGATTTATTAATCAAACTTTTATATGCTATTCTTTCATGTATTTGTTACAACAAAATTAGGCTATACAGTATTTAATATATATATATGTATATATATATACATCCTCTCCCATATATTTCTATATGTCTATTATCTATCTCTACCCTTGTATTATAGGAATAAATCTTGAGTTATTATAATACATATACATGTAGTTATTTTGTTGGATTTCATTTGAAATTATCTATATTCATCACTGAATTTGTTTCCTAGTTTATTTTATACTGTCTTAATATCTTCATAAAAATAATTGAGGAGGTTTCTTATTTAGATAATTAAAATCATAATGAGATTATCTATTTTTATTACATAGTTGTAAAGCATGGTTATACAGCCACCTGGGCCTTTTGCCTCTTTAATCTTTCTTGCCTTTCCAAATGCTTTATGGTGATGATATATTTATATTTTTTTGAATTATTTAAAAGAATTTTTTTATGATAAAACATTTTCATTGGTTCTGTGTTTCTACTTTTATTGGACTGTGGAATTACAATTCTAAACTTACAAAGTTATTTTACTGTGTACTGCATTAGTATATGTATCTTCTTTATCATTTGTAATCTTATACATTTCTCCTTTGATATTCATTCATTTTTCCTAGAAATGTACTAATTTTCCTGAAAATTTTAGAAGAATCACTTTTGTATATTTTTAGTTTTTAAAATTTGTTTAACTTTCTATCCTTTCTATCTACTTTCTATGTACTTTTGATTAATTTTATAGGTTTTAAAATTTTATGATAATTAGAAGTTGCTTTAGTTTTTGTTCTGTTTACTTTTTAAAATCATGAAAACATTTAAGGATAAATAATTATTTAATTTCTTTTGAGTGCAGATCTTTATATGAATCATTAGAAAATGTCTCTATTTTATTGTATGTGTATTTCTTCTAAAAATTTGCATTTGTATTCACTATTCTTTACATGTAGTATTAGTGAATTATTTTTATGACATTTTAACTATAAAATCTCTCGTTTAGATAGATAGAGGAATATAAAAAAGTATCTCCCCTCCTTCATAACTCAAAAAGTGACAGAAAACTTTTGTAGAGAAAATTGTTATCTTTTTCATGAGAGTGAGTGATTTTTTTTTCCCAATTCACACTTTCGAAGTCTTGACTATATGTTATTGTGTAAGTTTCAGTGCTTTCACCACTCAGATCCTGAAACTTAACCTCCCATGTTCATATAGACATTTAAATACAAGTCATCATGATCTATAATGCAACAACCTGCCACTCTCCATGCTCCATTGTTTGCTTTCTTGGTAATCTACAGGTCATAGATATGATGTTTTACATTTGTATTTACTCTGGATCTTTGACATCTTGTGAAATGTCCCACATTTTAACCTTTACTTTCAGCTATATATTCAAAAGAATATTTGTAAAATTTTATCCAACATTTTCTTTTGTTTGCATTGCATTTTCCTTGACTACTTGCGATGGTATTACCTTCTTTCTCAATTGTTCCTTATATTATTACATCATGCTCTTATTCATCCTATTTAGTGTTTTAATATAAAATTCCAATTCTTTTTTAATTAATTTTTTATATCATTTTGTACACATTTGAATACAGTATTATGCTGTCATTTTTATGGAAGACTAAAATATTGTTTGTATTATACCATAAAATAATTATGTGGGATTTATGAGAAGTATTAATGAATTTATGAGAAGTATATTTTCATGTTCTTTACTGAGACTAATTCCGTACAAGGACTTTACTAAAAGCCAAAGAAATCAGTTGATTGAGGTGTAATAAAAATAAATCTAAAGTGGGGTCAAGAAAGATAACAAACTTAAATACAAAGAAAATAATAAACGTCAATAGAAAGTTTTAGCAGCCACTTACCTTTTATTTTAACTTTATTTATTGACTCCTATTTTATTTTACTTATTTAAGAATGATGCCATTTTTTTGATTGAGTCATTGAAGGCTTTCTTTACTTGCTTATTTCTCAGGGTATAAATAAATGGATTTAACATAGGGGAAATAGAAAAAATAAGTAGTGAAACTACTTTATTAACAGTCACTTCTTCCTTTGCAGTAGGATTCATATAGATGAACATGCAGGTGCCATAGGTGATGGAAACCACAATCATGTGGGAAGAACAGGTGGAAAAGGCCTTTTTCCTTTGTTGGGCAGAAGGAAATCCTAAAATTGTCACAATAATAGAAGTATAAGATAGAACTACGCACATAAGAGTCAAGATGAGTGTCAGTACAGCACAGATTAAAACAGTTTGTTCCATGAACCATGTGTCTGAACATGATATCTTCATGAGAGGAGAAGCATCACAGAGAAAATGATCAATGATATTCGAGTCACAGAATTCCAGATTTAGTCCCAGACTAACTGGGGAGGTTATGACCAACAATCCAGACAACCAAGAGCAAAGAACAAGCCTCAGGCAAACTCTGCTGTTCATGATGGTCACATAATGCAGGGGCTTGCAGATGGCCACATAGCGGTCATAGGACATGGCAGCCAGGAGAAAAAATTCTGTTACTGCAAAAAGGTCAGTAAAAAACACTTGGATGACACAGTCATTGTAAGTGATGACCTTGTCACCTGTTGCTATGTTATACAAATATCTAGGAATACTGGCACTTGTGAATGAAATCTCTAAAAAGGAGAAATTTTGTAAAAGAAAGTACATGGGTGTTTTAAGATGGGAATCCACAAAGGTGAGAGTGATGATGGTCAGGTTCCCCATTGCACTGAACATGTAAGTGAGAAATAGAAAGATAAAAATCAGAACTTGCAGCTGAGGGTCATCTGTCAGTCCCAGCAGTACGAATGTTGTTATAGTATAGTTTTTCATTACTGATGTCTTCTGTCCAATCTGCATGTTCAATAATTCAGAGAGATTATCATATGGATTATTTTATCTATATAAAATCTAACTTAATCAGCTCTATCTTCACTTTATATTTATATTATATTGTAAGTCACACTAAGGATATGGGTAGATTTATGTGTTAATTTGGTGTGATTTCATAGGTAGCAAAAATGTCATTTGGATTTCCCCAATTCTTCCCAACTCCAAGCCTAGTAAAACAAAACAAAATTATAAAAAGACACACCATTAAAGTTATACGTTTGGCTAACAATTGGCTGATTGTCAAAATACTAATACATAGTGTATATCTTGGACTCACTCCAAAGTCCTGTTTAGAACATGGAGACTCTGCTCCAGCTTTACAATTCGATTTTTTTCTCTTTCTTTTTTTTATGAGTGTATTTTCTCCCCTAAACACACAAGACCATGTACTAGTTTCTCTCCCTTCCTTGTCATTCTTCTACATTTCTCTATCAATATGCAGTTTAGATATTGTTTTCTGTTGTGCACTACACAGTGTTTTAAGCACAATTTACTTGTACTTGTGATGCTTATGAAGAGATTTGATAAAGTAACTTAAAAATTACATGCATAATAATAAAATCATATCTTTTTGCCTGTTTTTATTTCTTGGATTTTTTTTTACTATTTCTCTTATTTATTATTTTTTATTTATTTTTATTTCTGGATATTATAAAGGTATAAACAATTTGGTTATATTTTATGTCTTTGCCTCATCCAAGGGAGGATTGGAGGCATGCCCTTCCCCTCTGCAATGCTCACTATGTCCATTAGTTGTGAGTTTATCCCCCTCCAACCCCCTTTCATTGATATGGCGTTTCCATCTTCACTATATCTATTAATGCAATGTAAAAATCCAGCGATAATGGGTTTTTTGATGCTGAGTTTATGCTAAAAGCTGCTCCATGGTAATTTTTTTAAGCATCAAAAATAACTTACTATTGTTAGGGACTTGAATGTTTTCAATTTTCAATCAGTGTCTCAATGCTTGTAATCCTACACCAATGAATCAAATAAAAATTCCCTTTGAAACCACAATGTATTTGTCCATGAAGTTTCTTTTCATTGTTTATTTTACTGTATTTTTTTCATACTGAGATAGAAGAGGAATATTTGCCCAACTCATACTGTTAAACCCACAGAATGGCAGTCACCAATACAAGAAAGAAATGCTGACATACGCTCATGGTTTGCCTGAAAACTTGAGCCCTCCCAGGGAATTGAGGGAGATGTGCTATATATTTTAGATTACTTTGAGAAATAGCAAAGATTAATTGCTGAAGTCTACATATTTTTCTGCCATCCTTTTTCCTTATTTCAAGCTATATGTGAATCATTATGTAATCTTATTCAGCTGAGCATGCTATGGGCATTATTTGACGCTCAAAACCAAATTCTTATAAGATATGACAGTATTATAAGACAGATTTTAACAAACTAATTGACACAGACTTGTAACCAACTGGTTTCTGATTTCTGTTTCTTTTATCTTTTAAGAAATATTTCAAAGGAGACAGGATGTCTAATGAGTGATGTTACTGAAGGTAGTCTTTGGGAATAATGAAGGGACAAATGCACACACAAACATATACACATACGCATACAGTGGGTGCTTTTATTTTCTAACGAGGTCTATGATATAGTTGATGTCACTTCTGGATATCTGGATATTTCTTATATTAGGATTCCGTTACATACCCATGGATTTACTATTATGACATTTCATATAAATTTCGAAGGCATTACAAAATATGTAAATTGTAACTCACAATTTTAATAAAGGTAGGTGAAATCTTTTTTTCCCTTAGAGAAAAATATGGCCAACATTTTACAAAGGGAAATATTACTAGTTTTAAAACTTATTATACTTACTTTTTTGTCAATTTTAACTTCCTTAAGTTGTTTAAAAGTAGTAATTATTAAAGCCATTTAGTTAAAAATGGTAGATGTAATGAAAATTTTCATGTGTAGTTTTCTTCATTCTTGCTTTCTCATGATGTACATTTTACCATTATAGGCTTAAGAAATATTTTCTTGTATATTTTAAAATATATGTGTATATATGTACATATATATATGTACATACAGGTATATATATCCAAAAGGCAATAAAATGCTGGAAACTCTCTCCTCTATTGAAAGAGTTGGTATTTCAATATCTCAGGATAGGGACAGAGGTTTGAACAATACTAACCTTTGAATTTTTCTTTTTAGTTTTATCTTCCTGCAAATAAATGCATAAACAAAATGTCTTTTGTGATTTACCCTCAAAAGTGTCCAATGAATCTTTGGAGTAATTTTATTTGGCAAAAGCACAACAACTATAATAATAAAAGCTGCTTTGGCTCCAGTGTCCTTGGGGATTGGAGGACAAAAACATCTATAGGTTAATTAGCTCATTTTCTTATTTTTCTTAAGAGCTTTATTGAAGGAAAATCTACTTATGATAAACTGCAAGTAATTGAAGTGCATAATTTGATAAATTGTGACACTCCTGTGGAAACATTACCACAATCAAAAGAATGAACGTATTTATCACTTCCAAAAGTGTCCTTGTGTACATTTGTAATCCCTGTGCTCTCCTCTTTCTGCACCCTCCATTTCCCAGGCATCCACTCTAGAGTTAGCTTGTCATTGTAGATTAGTTTTTAAATAGAGTTTTATGTTTTATGTAAATATAAGAATATAGTATTGTATTTTTTATCTGTCATCTTTCACTGAGCATAAATAAATTTATGATTAATTTGTCATAAATCATAAATTTATGATTTATCCCTGTTGTTATTTTTATCAATAATGTTTTTCCTTTTTAATGCTAAGTAGTATTCTAATGTTGATGGACTTATGAGGATTTCCAGTTCATGGCTATTATAAGTAAAGCTGATATAAACAGCTATATACAAGATTTGTATGAAATATGCTTTTATTTCTCTTAAGTAAATACCTAGGAGTGAAGTGGAATAGTTGATTGATAGGGGAAGTATATAGTTAACTTTTAAAGAATCTGTCAAACTGTGTTCCAACATGCCTTTAGCATTTTACATTCCCATTGTCAATGTGTGAGAATTCCAGTTACTTCACATCAACACCAGTCTTTAGCATGTTTAGTCTTTAATTTAGCCAATCTAGTAGATTTGTAATGGAATCTCACTGTTGTTTAATTTGCAATTCCCTAATTACGTATGCTCTTGTGCCTTTTTTCGTACGTTTATTTGACTCCTATATATCTTTTTTTGCTGTGGTATACATATTTTACTTACTTTCCTATTGTTGAGTTGTAAGAGTTCTTTGTATATTCTAGATACATGTCCCTTATCAGATATATGGTTTTTAAATATTTTCTCCCATTGTGTGGGTTTCCTGCTTTGTTGATAGTGTTCTTTGAAGTAAAAAAATTATAATAATTTGCATAAAGTTAAATTTATTTATGTTTATCTTTTATCACTTGTGTTTTTGGTGTCATATCTAAGAAACCATTGTCTAATTCAAGGTCACAAAAATTTGCTTCTATGTATTTTTATGAGTAATACAGTTTTAGCTGTTACATATAATTCTGTGATTCATTTTGAGTAAGTTGTTATATATGCCATGAAGTAAGAGTCTAAATTTATTCTTTGCATGGGAATATCTATTTGTCTAGCACCACTTGTTGAAAAGAGTATTTATTCCCTGTTGAACTGTCTTTGCATTCTTGTTATAAATCAGTTGACCATTGCAGTGGATTGAATAGCGGGTTGGAAAAAGGGTCTTTACAGATGCAACTTAGATATTTTTTGAGAAGGCCCTACATTCAGTGACTGGTTTCCTTGTAAGAAGAGGAGAAAACAAAAAGAGACACAGGGAAGAAAGCCAGGTGAAGATGAAGGCAGAGATGGAGTCATATTGCCACAAGCCAAGAAATTTCAGAAGCCACTAACAGCTGAAAAAGATAAGGAAGGATTCACTCTGGAATTATTCATGGCAAGTGTGTAGAAACACAGTTGGGTTTTGTATATTGATCAGTATCCTGAAACCTTGCTGAACTCATTTTTTAGTTCTCCTAGTTTTTGTGTGGATTCTTTAGGGTTTTCTGTATATGAGCTCATGTCATCTTCAAATAGAGATAGCTTTGCTTCTCCCTTGCCAATATGGATCCTTTTTATTACTTTTGCTTCCCTAATTGCCCTTTTAAAAGCCTCACATAAAATGTTAAATGGAAGTGGTGACTGTGGATATTCTTGCTTTGTTCTCAATCTTAGAGAGAAAGAACCCAATCTTTCCTCATTAAGTATGAGATTACTTGGTTTTTTTTTTCACATCACCTTTGTTAGGCAGAAATGTTCCCTTCTATTTCTATAATAGATTATTGAGAGCTTTTATCACAAATCAGTTTTAAATTTTGGAGAGTGCTTTTTCTGCCTCTGTTAAGATTATCATGTGCTTTTTAATCCTTTATTCTATATTCTTTTTATATGATGTATTACACTGATTAATTTTTGAATGTTAAAACAATTTTGTGTTCCCTGGATAAATCCCACTTGGTCAAGGTGTAAAATCATTTTTATATGTGGCTGGATTTAGCTTGCTAGTATTTTGTTGAAGATTTTGTGCATATTCATAAGTGATATTGATCTCTAGTTTTATTATAATATTTTTTTCTGGTTTTGCTATGACAGTCTTAGCTACATAGATGAATTGGGAAGTACAGCATCTCCTTTTGCTTTTTAGAAGAGCTTGTGAAGGATTTCTACAATGTTGATAGTATTCACTTGTAATTGTTTTTATGACCAGAGCCTTTTCCATGACAATGGCCTACTTTCCAGGGAAAAAGATTTTTTTTTTTTTTTTTTACCAGAGACTTATCCATAATGGAAGAAAGGAATGTCCCTCTAGTTTTCCCATCTCACCTAAGGTGAAAAAAAGCTGTGAAAACTTTGTAAAGAACACTTTGTAGGAATGCAGGCCAACTAAAAGACTAACAT